TCTCTGCTAAAGGTAACAGCTCGCGAAATTCGTCACAGGCAAAGCGCCAGTCGGCATGTGCAGCAACTATTGGCTACAAATGCACGTTTTGTCAAGGTGATCACTCAGTTTATAAATGCAAGGATTTTTTAGCCCTTCCAGTACCTCGCAGGAGCTCAGAGATTCGCGATCGTAAGATTTGCATTAATTGCTTACGTTCTACAACACATGTAGCTAGTAAATGTCCCTCGGGTCATTGTAAACATTGCAAGGCAAAGCATAACACATTGCTGCACATGGCGACCGCCGCAGTCTCGCAAGGTCAAGACAAGGAAAACTGCGCGGAGCCGACATCAGTAATAACGTCTCAAGCTGCCTTAGCCTTGCACGCGTCTAGTCGTCGGGACGATAATCCTACTATACTCTCGACTGCTATTGTATACGTTCATGATAACCACGGAAGGCAAGTCGAGTGCTGTGCATTGTTGGATTGCGGTTCGCAAGCCAATTTTGTTTCTAGAGGATTCGTGACCAAGCTCGGATTAAAGCCGAGGTCAACGAACGTAATTATCTCAGGGGTGGATGGCGCAACCACCAATTCTAATCAAAGCGTCCGTTTAAGGATACAATCTCGCTTAAATTCATATTCGACAGATATTGAGTGTATTATGACCGAGCAAGTAACAAGTGAACTTCCGGCGTTCACCTTCGATCGCAGCATCTTTGACATTCCTCGCAACTTAGAGTTGGCTGACCCGCAATTCTACGAATCTTCTAAGGTCGATTTATTACTAGGGGTTGACATATTCTGGGACCTATTGTGCGTGGGGCAGGTACAAGCCTCACCTAAGCACCCAACGCTGCAAAAAACGCGCTTAGGGTGGATTTTAGCTGGTCGAATCGGTTTTTCGAGGGGGGATCCTAAGAAAGTACGGTCCTTTCACGCAACTATAACCAACGCACAAATACACGATCAGCTCAGCCTTTTTTGGCGCCAGAAAGATTGCGTTGAGCATCCAACTGGTTATACTCTAGTGGAAACTCAGTGCGAACAGCACTTTCTAAACAACGTGTCTCAGAATCAGGACGGTAGATTTGTGGTCAAGCTTCCCATCAAGGAGCATATAATCAGCGAGCTAGGTAGTTCAAGAGATATCGCGTTGAAGCGTTTGCGGAATATTGAAAAGCGTTTCGAGCGTGATCCTAGTCTGAAGCTACAATATACGGAATTCATGAACGAGTATCTGGTTTCAGGACATATGAGGGTGGCGGACGAGCAACTCGAGGAAGGCTTCTACTTGCCGCATCATTGCGTTTTCAAGGGCTCTGATCGGTCTTCTAAGATCCGTGTAGTCTTCGACGCGTCGTGCAAGGGTAGTAAAGGGACATCTCTCAATGACGCGCTCACGGTAGGGCCGGTGGTCCAACAAGACTTAATGTCCATTTTGCTACGATTCCGTACACATCGCTACGCTATTTTAGCCGACATAATTAAAATGTACCGGCAGATTCTGGTAGATCCTTCTCAGACGAGATTTCAGAGAATATTGTGGCGTGACAATGCTAGCACAGACGTACAAACATACGAACTGACAACAGTCATGTACGGTACTTCTTCCGCCTCTTACTTGGCTACGAGATGCCTGACATATTTGGCGGAGCTGCATGAGTCGACATACCCAGTAGGATCGAAATGCGTCAAACAGGACTTTTACATGGACGATATGCTCACAGGAGCAGACACAATTGCTGACGCCGAGGTTATAATACAGGAGGTTACACAGCTATTACGATTAGGACGTTTCGAACTTAGTAAATGGGCGTCGAATTGCTCACAACTGCTTACCAACGTAGATGGTCAGAAAAGTAGTTCAACTATCATTAGTAGCGGCGCACATCCACGTGTTTTAGGAGTTTTGTGGAACCAAGCTGAAGACAAGCTAGGGTTCTCGTACGAAGCTGACGTAAATCATCACACGGTATCCAAGCGCTCAGTATTATCAGATTCCGCTCGATTGTTTGATCCCTTAGGTATTCTAGGGCCAGTTGTAGTTACGGCAAGGTTCATTCTCCAGGAGCTTTGGCAAGCGGGCTGTGCTTGGGATGAATCCGTCCCGCAAGCTATACAATCACGATGGCTCAGATTCAAGTCACAGTTACCGGGATTAAACGATTTCCAGATTCCTCGATGCGTTAAGTTTGCGTCGAATCATCGACTCGTTCAGGTACACGGGTTTTGTGATGCTAGCCAGCGTGCCTATGGGGCGTACATATACATTCGAACAGAGGGCATCGATGAATATCGCTTAGAACTCCTTTGCTCGAAATCTCGCATCGCGTCTCTCAAGGCTATATCTCTTCCAAGGCTGGAATTATCTGCGGCGTTGCTATTAGCTCAACTATTAGAAAAGGTCAGAAACGCGCTTGACTTATCACGCAACGCTATCTTTCTCTGGTCGGACTCGACAATAGCCTTGAATTGGCTGACATCACCTTCTCGAAAGTGGTCCACCTTTGTGGCCAACCGGGTCGGCGAAATACAACGCCTGACAAAACCAGAATGTTGGGCTCACATTTCTTCAGCTGATAACCCCGCGGACGTGTTGTCGCGCGGCGCCGATCCTTACGAGTTAATAAATTCTTCATTGTGGTGGCAAGGCCCGACCTTCTTACGATCTCCTCAGGATCAGTGGCCTAGCGGAAAATTCACTCAACTCAAGGACGACATACCGGAGGCGCGGGTAACCTCTACAGTCGCGGTTTCCTTTGAACTCTCTGTGGTTGACGATTTAGCGGACAGGGTTTCTAGCTTAAACAAACTCTGTCGCATTCTAGCCTATTGTTTCAGGATCCGTAAAACACATCGTCCGAGCCCGCCAACTAGCTTTGTCTCACATAATGAAATTTCGCACGCCCTAAATACGGCATGTAGGGTAGTGCAAAGAACCTCGTTTTCCGAGGAATACAAGGCATTAAGTAAGGGCAAGCCTATTAGTACGTCTAGCAAATTACTCTCGTTATCGCCGTTTATGGATGAAATTGGGCTAATTCGCGTGGGGGGTAGGCTAAGAAATTCCAATCTACTCGAGGCGCGACACCCGATATTGCTACCTCGCGAACACAATTTTACAAAACGCGTGATAAGTCATGAACATGTGCGTAACATGCATGCCGGCGCGCAAGCCACCATGGCCGCCATCAGGCAACGCTTTTGGCCCCTTTCGTTTCGGTCAAGTACGCGTAAGATTCTGCGAAGCTGCATAACATGCTTCAGAGTCAAACCAATTCAATCAGAAGCTATAATGGGTTCCCTGCCGGCCAGCCGTGTCACGATGTCGAGACCATTTTCGCACTGTGGCGTGGATTACGCTGGTCCGATTATAATAAAGGAGGGCAAACGACGAAATGCCCGGAATAGTAAGGCGTACATTTCTATCTTTGTGTGCTTTGCCACCAAGGCGGTCCATATCGAACTGGTGAGCGATCTCACTTCGGACGCGTTTCTTGGTGCGCTTCGGCGTTTTATCTCTCGAAGAGATAAACCGATATGTATGTACTCTGACAATGGCTCTACTTTTATAGGAGCTCATAACCAGATCAAGGAGATTCGAGACTTCCTCAACTCTCAGCAAGTGCAGGCAGACGTAAAACAATTCCTGTGCGAGCAAGAAACTACGTGGAGCTTCATTCCACCTAACGCGCCTCACTTCGGAGGATTGTGGGAAGCGGCCGTGAAGTCGGCCAAGTATCACATGTCGCGTATCGTTGGCAGAGCCAATTTGACCTTTGAAGAACTGCAGACAGTGCTTGCTGAGATTGAAGCAATCTTGAATTCACGTCCGCTTACGCAAATAAGTAGCGACCCGAACGACCTTTCCTGTCTCACTCCAGGGCATTTTCTGGTCGGAACGGCTATGAATAGTCTCCCTTGCCGAGATTTAAGCGACGTGAACGAGAATCGATTAATGCGATGGCAGCGAGTTGACCAGATAAGGCAGCATTTTTGGAAAAGATGGAGTACCGAATATCTCCATTCTTTACAAGAACGTCACAAGTGGAAAACTAATAAAGGTACACAGTTGAAACCTGGGCAGCTCGTGCTCATAAAGCAACAAGGCCTAGCTCCGATGCAATGGCTATTAGGGCGAGTTCTGGAAACTCATGCCGGCTCTGACGGTGTTGTGCGAACCGCCTCTATTCGAACTATCAAAGGGTCATGCGTTAGACCTCTCTCTAAACTAGCGATATTGCCAATAGATTCGTGAAATAGGTTTTCGTGCCTAGTAATGACCAGGGCTGTTGGTCCCATCGTTTGTATAAGAATTTTATTTTTTTTATATGCGTCTATCATTATCATTAGCCAGCGCCGTTTTATCTAGATTTTAAGCAAACGTGCCTTTTTTTTGTGTTCTTATTGAAAGTACACCCTTTCAAAGGGGGCGGCGTGTTAAGTATACTTATTTGATTTGATTATGGCGCCCGGCGCCTAACTTTTACCGAACTCGCTTTCGGTGGATCGCGCGCCTGATTGGCTGAGGCGCTCGTGCGTCGTCGTTACTACCCGTCGTTCGCGGCGGCGAGCTCGCAATTGCGATCACTTCGTTTCCTGTCTCCAGCGCGGCCGCTACTAACGGTCACATTTTTGTACGTGTCTTTCGGCTGTACGCCGTACTTCGCATCCACGAGCCTCTCAATAAATAGTCTTCAAACTTAGAGAAATCCAGTTTCATTTCTCGACCACCCCCGAACGCGAAGAAACAGGATACCGCGTATCACTGGGTGGAAGCACGCGCACAAATCACAAGCGTGCAACGTACATTTTCTTGGTCCTTCGAGCCGGATCCTGCCATCTTGGGATCTGCAGTCGGCTCATCGGATGCGAGTTAAAACGGCTGCAAGTAATCTCGGCATTGCCACGAAAGCATTCGTGACACATCCAGACGCTTCACGGGCACGTCGTGAGCGGCCGCGAGGCATCTAACCTACAAGCTGGTGAGGTCTAGTGCTAAGGCAACCCGCCACATTCCAACGCCGGCTCACATTCGAGCGCCAGGGCGTATCCGCGTGCGCTGCACGCATCGTTACCGGACAGAGTCCTACATCCTCCACGAGGCCAGGGACATCCGACGAGGATCGTCGACGACGAGCAAATCAACATTACCGTCGACGGCAAGCTCGAATCTGCTCTCGAGGCGCGGTTCAAGGGATTGAGAAGGCATCTAGTGACGACCTACATCGAGAATCGTCTGTCATCGCTCTTTCCAACCGCACCGGCGGAACATCGTCAAGTCGCAAGCACACATAAGTATCGCGTGTTTTTCGTAGACAGGTAAGGGTGGCGATCTAGTCAAGCCGCCGACCAGAAATATTCGCATATAATATAGAGTCGTCTATTTATTCAGAATGCCCGACGAAAACATAGCGGTTCTTAAAAAACAACGTACGGTTATTAAATCATCGTGTACGCGTACTAAGACATACGTGGATTCGATCACGGTTCTTACGCCGTCAGTAATAGCGCAGCTCGAGGAGCGCAAGTTGAAATTAGATTCCAATTGGTCGGATTATAATACGGTTCAAGCGCGATTAGAAGCATTGGACGATGCTGAGGCTAACGATCGTCCAGGATTCGAGGAGGCGTACTTCGCGTTGTCGGCGAACATTAGGGAAAAACTAGCATTCTCCGTAGAAGCCACGCGTAGTTCAGCGCCGTCGCCAGCGCCTTCGAGTGCCTCGAATGGTCATGACTCGAACGCGCATGTACGATTACCGAAGCTTAACCTTCCGACTTTCAGCGGTAAATACGACGAGTGGTTTCCGTTTTTTGACACCTTTAATGCAATTATACATTCAAATACATCAATTAGCAATGTTCAAAAATTTCAATACTTGCGTTCTTCTCTTTCCAGTGAGGCCAGTGATGTCATCAGCTCGCTGGAGATCTCTGACGTCAATTATGAGGTTGCTTGGCGATTACTGAAGGAACGTTACGATAACAAGAGAATAATCGTACACACGCATATTAAAGCCATCATGGAGCTTCCATCGATGGTCAAGGAGAATTCCAGCGAGCTGAGGCAGATTACGGACGGCGCGTGCAAGCACATGCGTGCCCTACAAGCGCTCCAGCGTCCGACGTCTCACTGGGACGATATTCTCATATTCATTTTAAGCGCTAAACTCGACACAACCACTTTGCGAGAGTGGCAATCGTCTTTGGAAGGCACGGAACTCCCGACTCTGAAGCAGTTCATCGAGTTTATGACACACCGTTGTCAAATGCTAGAAGCGACAAGCAGATCTCTCGCTGTCTCTGCTAAAGGTAACAGCTCGCGAAATTCGTCACAGGCAAAGCGCCAGTCGGCATGTGCAG